GCCGCTGCCGCGGCCTTTCCGGCGCCTGGGCGGCTGCGGGGGGACGCCGCGAGCCCGTGCCTCTGGGGCCGCCCGCCGTCGGACCTGGAAAGCGAATTAAGTCCCGCGAGGGTGGGAGAGAAGCCGAGAGAGGGAAGCCCGCCTTGGCGGTCCCGCTTTTCTGGCAGATCCTGGGTGGATTCCACGCACGAACGCGACCGAGCTCGGAGGAATCTCATCCAGACCCGTCCGTTTGGAGGAAGCCGCCTTCCTCGCATTCCGCCCGGCTGTCCCATCAGGGTGGCATCCGTGGCTCTCCAGATGGGCTCCCATCCACGTCAGGCTTCACAGAATGGTCTCCCTTTCACTCAGATTTGTTACCGCTGAGCTCCCAGTTCCAGCCTTGGTCACTGGGACTCACGCGCTCCTCCGTTTCCTTCTGTGGGGTGTTGGAGGGCAGGGGGCCACTTCCTGGGGGATCCTCTCTTAGCTCTTTGGGGCTGGTGACGAGCTCCAGTTCAGCTCCCCTGTAATTAACTTAAGGTTTTTCTCTTGCCTTCCCGCTTTCTCTGCTACACAGAAATTCGCCACTCGGTTTGGCCGGATCTTTTTGTTTCCCACCAGCCAAAGCTGTTGCAGTCACCATGGCTGTCCCAGAACCCCGGTCCAATCACACCATCTACATTAACAATCTGAACGAGAAGATCAAGAAAGACGGTGAGTAGCCGTCGATCCTGCTTCAGTGCTAAGGGCTGCTCGTTTTGCTTCAGCGGGGTGCAGTTGGTGCACTAGTGACTTATTTGGGGAAAAAGCACATTTGGAGCGGGTGAGCGTCATCAGAGCACGCGTGCTTTGTACACAGAGTCTGCTTGTCCTTTTTCTGGCATTTATGGAAGAACAACCGTCTGCAAAGTTCAGAGACCGCTGTGGGGTCTTAAAAACACAGAAGCCGACCTGCCTTTTGACTGCAGAGCGTATGATGTTGCAGCTTAGGAGCAGAAGTGTAAACGTAACTTTCTCCCCATAGAGCTGAAGAAGTCTCTCTACGCCATTTTCTCTCAGTTTGGCCAGATCCTCGACATCCTGGTGTCCCGCAACCTGAAAATGAGAGGCCAGGCCTTTGTCATCTTCAAAGAGATATGCAGCTCCACCAATGCCTTACGCTCCATGCAAGGGTTCCCTTTTTATGACAAGCCCATGGTGAGTCACGTCAGTTCTTTGGTTCTTGGCCGAAAGGGAGGGGAGGTGCTAACAAAAGAGATCTAATTGCTGTAATGCAGTCAGTGAAGTGCCTGTGAATTCTAATGCGGCTTGACCAGGTGGACTTTTCTGCCGTTGCAACCCCAGTGAAGCTTGGAGGCGTGCTGGTTGGCCATTTATCCTACCCTGGGTAACCCAGTGCTTTTTTCCCATAACCAGAGGATCCAGTATGCCAAAGCAGATTCTGACATCATAGCCAAGATGAAAGGCACTTTTGTGGAGCGGGACCGCAAGAGAGAAAAACGAAAGCCCAAAGGCCAGGAGGCACAAGCAGTTAAAAAGCAGATCCCGGGAGCAGCTGCACCAGTGGCGCCTTCAGTCCAAGGCACTGTGCCTGTAAGTACCTGCCCCGGGCAGTTTGGGGGCTGGATCTGGGGAAACAGCCACCAACTTAGCATCAGGTGGTTCCTTTAAGCCTACTCCAGGAAGAGCTGCTCTGTGATGAAGCCCAAACACTGGCAGCCTATGGGGTGATTGTGGGTCTTTTCACCTGTAATGAAACAGGTTCTGAAGTGTAAAATAGGAAAGAGATTCTTTCTTTGCTAGCTGGGTCTTGCGATTCAGGGGTCTCTGGGAGCGTCATGCTGGCTTTTGAATGGCAGTTGCAGGAGAAGGTCTGCAACTGCCTTGTAGAGAAGGTCTTGCCTTTTGGAGGGCGGGCCCCAGGCAGGCTTTTCTGAGGTGTCATGAGTTTGACGAATAGCATGAATCTCCATGCATCCCCTTGCTTTCTCCTCAGGGCATGCCGCCCATGAACCAAGGCCCCTGTGTGATGCACCACATGCCAGGACAGCCCCCTTACATGCCACCTCCAGGCATGATGCCGCCGCCTGGCATGGCGCCGGGATCCATCCCCCCAGGGGCGATGCCGCCACAACAGATGCTGCCAGGACAGATGGCCACAGCGCAGCAGGTGAGTGACATGGGGCCCAGCTTGGTTGGGGCTGTCCTATGGGCTTGTCAGTCAGGTAGAAACCACAGGTTGCGTAATGAGGTCCATGAGAAACCACCGTGATGGGAAGTTGTAGATGCTCCCATTTTGGTAAGAGGGGTCTAGATTATACCCAAGGGCCTGTTCCTTCCCTCCCTGGGTCTTAAGATTTCAGAATGATGGGATCTTTCTGCCCCACGCAGCTGTCGGAGAATCCACCTAACCATATTCTGTTCCTCACCAACCTTCCTGAGGAGACGAATGAGTTGATGCTGTCCATGCTGTTCAACCAGTAAGTTCTGCTGTCCTGGGGCAGCTGAAGGGGTTGACCTGGAGGCTTTGGGGGAGGGCCAGGCAGGGCTGGCAGTGAAGGACTTGTCTGGTTTCTAAGGCTGGACTTGGGTGCATTTCCTTCATGATCTGCATGCTGCTACTTTTCCTACCCTGATATCCGCAACAGCCTCTCTTCCTTTATTTAGTGCAAGAATTCTTTTCTTTCTTTCGGCCTTGAATGCACATCTTCCTGCTCTAAGCCTGTCCCATTCTTGTAGCGCCTCCTCCAACTTCCTTGCTGTCTTGTTCTTCCAAAAATGTGGCCCCAGTGATGTCCCCCTTGCAAATTCCAGGCTTGAGTCTTCTTGCTCTGCTTTGCTCCAGGTTCCCTGGCTTCAAGGAGGTGCGGTTGGTGCCCGGTCGCCATGACATTGCCTTTGTTGAATTTGATAATGAGGTGCAGGCTGGTGCTGCCCGTGATGCCCTCCAGGGTTTCAAGATCACCCAGAACAATGCCATGAAGATCTCCTTTGCTAAGAAGTGATGCCCCATTCCAGGGTGGGGGGAGTTCCTGGATTATTGCCCTTTTTTCCTAGTTTTTGCCTGTAAAATGGTTTGTGTTGTTTCTCTGATGTTGTCTTCTGTGAAGGTAAGTGTGCGTGCATGTATGAATGAGCGAGTGAAAGGGAAATAATTCACAGCTGCATGAAAGGTGGCAGAGCTTGTCACGGGTTATCTGCCCGTTGGGTGTGTGGCATCTGAAAGCTAGCAGCCGATTCTTTGCAAAAGCATTGTACCCAGAGTCTGACGGCCAGACATTGCACCTGGAGCTTTTCTTTTTTGCAGTAAAAATGTTCCTTCATTCTTATTGTTGGGTTTGGTTCTTATTGACTGGAGGCTTGTGGGTGTTGGTTATTTTACTCGACCTGGGGAGGAAGATGGAGAAGAGTTGCTGTGGAGGCCCCTGAAATCTTCCTTGTTTCCCCTCTCACCATAGCTCGAAAGAAGAGATTTCCCCCTGCCCCCCGAGAGCTTCCTCTTGTGACTACCCGGCTCAGGCTCTGATCCCACATGGCTGGTTTGCCTAGACTGAGCCAACTTGGAAAGGCAGTTTGTCAGGGGGTGCTGGTTAGTTCAGTGAAATTAGTCACCATTTGCTTTTTGCCGAGAGGGCAAAAGCTGTCTTTCCAAGCCAGGGCAGATTGTTCTGGATCTCAGCTGGTTCTGCTGCCACAAAACTGCCAGAGCAGATGCGGTATTGAACACTAAACTGCAAGTCAGAATCCTAGTGGGCAAAGAAGTGACATGTTTGAACTTAAAAGAGGAGGGGCTTTAGTGACAGAGCTACAAGAGGAGGGGCTTGGGAAGTTGGGCCCTTGATATGGGATAGGCGTAATCTAGTGGCCTGTGTGCCTTCTGCAGGTGTGGGATCCCTTGTGTCTTCTGCTTGAGGACAAGTATGCTCAATGGCGTTCAAGATTAAAACACATAACCCATGGCACCCAAGGTTAAAACAGCCCCAGTCACAGAAAATATCATCATCAGCAAAGCTCGCCTAACCTGACTTAAACACCTGAGGAGACAACCAGTTCTCCAAAGCCTTGCGAAAGGCTAACGGGGTCGGGGCTGTCCAGATTTCCAGAAGGATGCTGTTCCATAGGGCGTCCCACTCAGGATTTCAAGAAGATGCAGCTGTTGCACAGAGCTCAGCAGCCACTGTAGGACTTCACCAAAGGGATAAAACTTCCAGCTCTCTGACTCATTGGAGGACAAATCTGCTCTGACCATCTCACTGCTAACTCCTCCAGCGTAGGGAAGTTGGAACCTCTGTCACTCAGGTTGGAGGCCAAGGTGTCAGCCCCCCCCCTTGTCCTCCCAAGAAGGAATGGGAATGAGTTAACAGCACACCAGGGTGCTCGGTGTCACTTTCAGTGGTTTCCAACTTCTGCTTCCTGACTGGCTGTGCAAAACGGCAGTTTGGAGCTTGCAACACAGGTTGCATTACGGCACCGGAGTTCCTGCCCTCCAAAAGTTGTAAGACCACGGGAAGGTCCAAAAACGTTTAAGAATCCTGACAGCGTGGGATGTGCTGTTCAGTGCTGTAAAATACAGGAAAAGAGATTAGGGACGGGCATCTGCAAGTGGGAGCCAAAATGCAGAAACCATGTAGTTCCTAAAACCAAACTGAAGGTGAGTGGCTATTCCCACAGCAGGGTAAGCCAAAGTTTAACTATGATTTATTGGCTACAAGGACCTAGGTGTGGCTGGGCTCAGTGTCAAGCAAGCTGCGTTTTAACCTCTGCTTGTATGCGTGTGGCTGTCTCTGAACCCAGCGGTTGTGAGCACTTGTTTGTGGGTGTGGACGAGCTGTAAGGGCTGGCAATAATTTTCAGTGGTTTGAGGTAGCTTAGCATCTCCTGGGTGCTCCCCAGTTGTTTGACTGTTTCAGTCTAGATCCTACAGAAATGGGGTGTCTGGGCCCTTCAAGGGGCTGGAGGGGTATGGCAGATGAACGAGCTAGCAGTCAAGCAGTTGCGTTTAGCTCTGTTTCCCTTGAAAGGATCTCAGGAGCAACCCTACAAGGGAGCAGATGCTCACTTTCCAGTGGTCTCCAGCTGCGGCCCTTTCCCCCCGCATGCTGTTCCTAACCACCTGAACTCTCCACCCCCCCATGCACCCACTTTGAGCACACTCTTTGCCCTGATAGCCCAGGAGTGCTCAGGAGGCTGGTCTAGCTTCAGAATACCCTATTCCCGCTCTTCCTCATTTAGCAGAAGGCTGCAGAGCTTGCAGGAAGGGCTGGAACCATCCTGCCCCTTGCATGGCAGAGGAGGGCCTTCTGGGCTCTGCAAGACACAAGAATGGAACCAGCACTGCCCACAGATCACCCTGGTCCTCGGAAAGGTAAACGTGCATCGAGGGTCCTCGCTGTGTGCCCGATGTTCCTGGTTGCCTGCCTGCGCAGAGGACCCTGGGGTGGTACCAGTGGAGAGGTGGCCTCTGCACAAAAGCCCGGGCTGCAGGTGCTGAGTGCGTCTGACTTTATGCCATCGAGTCACTTTTGACTCCTAGCGATCGCAGGTTCTCTCCATAATGGTCTATCCCTAACCTGCTCTTTCAGGTCTCCTGGCAGCGCAGGCTTGTCCGTGGAGTCTAACTGATATTATTCAGTCCTTGGGTACTCTGCCTGCCTGCCTGCCTCCAAAACCAGCAAGTAGCTTACTGGGGGACGGGCTGGCCTGGTTAGTTCCAGGACCCGGGTCTTTCTTCTCAGGACTGAGGATTTGCTGGGACTGAGGCTTGCCTGCTCTTCCCCAGCTCTGCTCTTTTCCTTTCGGGACTCCTGCCCAGGTTTAGAGGGCTTTCCTTGCCAAACAGGTTCTGCAGAATCCTGCCACCCCGGGGCGGGGGTGGGGCAGGAGCAGAGCGCCTCTCTGGACAAGGAAGCACATGCTGGGAGCTGATCTGCCCATTGGCCCAGGCGGAGCAGAGGCAGAGGCGGCCTCGGTCAAGCCAGCTGACCTCCCAGCCCCCAATCCGACTTTCCAAGAAGGGTTTGGGTGCCTCCTGTTTTCTGCAAGGATGCATAGCCCAAGAGGAGGGGTGTTCCTTCTCGGTCTGAAAACCAGGAAGAAACTCCCCCGTCCCTAAAACAAACAAACAAAAAAAACTTAGTGGGAAGACATTTTCAGTTCAAAAGCTGGTATCAGATCCCATCCAGCCTCCACTTAGGAATCTTTATGATGTCACTTCTGAGCATGGGAAGAGTGCTCTGTTCCCTCTGTGCAACCGGGGAGAAGCCGCCTTCCCATCCTTTGTTTCCTGGGGCCTAAGCTGGCTTTCCCCCACCCCAAAGAGTCCAGGTTTTCCTGCCCTGAGGCTGCATTGCTGGGGGAGCGAGATAAAGGAGCAGAAAGCCCCCCCCCAGCAGAGGAGCTAGAATCCTTTCTGGCAGGAGTTGGGGGCTTCAAGAGAGTGGTGGGGACCACACCAAGAAGAGGACAGGTACCCAAAGGGGTTGGCTTCCATCCCGCCGTGGAGTGGACGAACTACAAATGCCAGGATCCTTTCCCGGTGGCTGCACTAGCTGGCGGACCTCTGGGGCGGTGGTCTGGGACACATCCTTGCAGTCGGGGGTGGGGGGAGAGAGGCTACCCCGCTCTCGCTGCGCAGGGCTCCCCAGAAGGCCGGGAGCTCCAGCAGTCTTGAGCCGGCCTGCGACAGAAGGTGGACCTCCTCCAGAGACGCAGAGGTCCCCTGCCTGCCGAGCCCCAGGGGACTAGAGGGAGGGGCATGCGGCCTCCCAGGGGGGCATCGGGCCGGGGAGGGGGAACGGGCCGGCCGTCTGCGCGCCGCTCCCTGATCGAGGGCGCAGGCG